ATCACATCCGTGTTATTTGTGCCGTGTGGCGGCTGTAAAAAGTCTCCCCGTACATTTAATCAATGATGTTATATTTTCGATCCTTGAAGATCGTTCAGCACGACATTATTGTTGTGCTTGTGGTATTTTTAGTTTCTACTTTTCGGCATTTTCTATATGGGTTGTTCCAATATTTCACTTGAATAATGTTGAATCACCCATAGGATATGTTGCCTGCTTTTTAAATTTGTCTTTTGACGTCTTATCTGTGATACGCAGGCTTCATTACCTCTGATCCCCTTCCAAAATTCCATTTTATTTAGTTCCGCCCATTGTTTTCTCGTTTAGGGCACACGCGTTTTATTACTTGGGGACCATACGCCGCTTTTCATGGAATGGCACGGAAGTGTCACATTGAAGGTTCCATGATAACCGTCGTATGAACACATCTGCGGATGTTTCTAAATTCAAAATTTTACTATTTCACGTTTAAATGTTGAATTCTGCTTAAGCCGGTGCTAGGGGGCGTGGACGATAATTTGCACTTTCCAGTACCGTCCATGAACAGGCTCAATCAAACCGAGCCTGCAACATTTTCAATTTTGCCGTGTTGGGCTTTCTTTAGGGATTCTGTATTTATCTATTTTAGGATCACATCCGTGTTATTTGTGCCGTGTGGCGGCTGGAAATAGTCTCCCCGTACATTTAACCAATGATGTTATATTTTCGATCCTTGAAGCTCGTTCAGCACGACATTATTGTTGTGCTTGTGGTATTTTTAGTTTCAACTTTTCGGCATTTTCTATATGGGTGGTTCCAATATTCCTACTTGAATAATGTTGAATCACCCTAAGGATAAGTTGCCTGCTTTTTAAATTTGTCTTTTGACGTCTTATCTGTGATATGCAGGCTTCATAACCTCTGATCCCCTTTCAAAAATCCATTTTATTTAGTTCCGCCCATTGTTTTCTCGTTTAGGGCACACGCTTTTTATAACTTGGGGACCATACGCCGCTTTTCATGGAATGGCACGGAAGTGTCACATTGAAGGTTCCATGATAACCGCCGTATGAACACATCTGCGGATGTTTCTAAATTCAAAATTTTACTATTTCACGTTTAAATGTTGAAATCTGCTTAAGCCGGTGGTAGGGGGCGTGGACGGTAATTTGCACTTTCCAGTACCGTCCATGAACAGGCTCAATCAAACCGAGCCTGCAACATTTTCAATTTTGCCGTGTTGGGCTTTCTTTAGGGATTCTGTATTTATCTATTTCAGTACTTTATTTCTTTTCAGCCTTTTAAAAACAAATTTTTGAATAAATGTAGCAGTATAAAATGTAATGAAAAGTAAATACTCGTATATATCAAAGTTTTTCTTGATATATATGTTTATAAAATAAGCTCTTCTGGTGTTATTTTATAATGGGTACAGCACTGAAGATACAGTTGTGCAATATATTGGATATCGCAATATTTTATCTTGCAATATTATATTGCAGTATGTTTTCATATATCACAATATATTGAAGCTATAAACTTTAAATGGTAACATAAAATTCTATGAGATATACAAGTGTAATCATCTTGTGTTACCTTGACTTCAAATGGCATACAAAAATTACATTAAGTTATTTAAACTCCTTTATTAACAATACGTTTCTTAATACATTGTGAAAATCATTTATTAAATGACCTCTGGCATACCATTTTTTGGGACATAATATTAAATTAAATATTTAAATAAAGTAACTGTAGGCCTACCCTTCATTTTCAAGCATTTTATATATAATAATATTATTGCAATATATTGTGATATATTCTGTAAATATCGCAACACATGTACATAGCAATATTTAGCAATATATTTCTATTTGCAATACCCCCTAACTGGTCACTCCCTAAATCAACTCTTTTTTTCCATTTTTCTTTTTTTACAAAATAGCAAAGAAAACGGCAAATTTTCCTTAAACAGCATCTTCAGCCTGCAAATAAGCAAGTTTTCATATATTTCAATTATCTGGCAATGAAATTTAACCACATAAAAAGTTCTTAAATAATTTATTTTTTAATACATACATGTACATGCAATTTGCTTTTGGTCATTGATCCGCTGAGGTGGTATCCCAGATGAATTGGTTAGTAATTACAAAGTAAGTATTTGTTATATATCATTATACAAAACTCAAAAGAAAGAAAAAAATATGGAAATAGTACTGTCATGGATGAGAAATGTCACTTTTAAAATAAAATTATAAAAAAAAATCATGTTTTAGTGAAAAATGAGATGGCCCCCGTCACCGCGACTTGTTGATTAGCATTGCCTTCTGTAACATGTAATTTAGATCAAACGAGAAATTACACTTAACAGAAATATTTGCAACAGTAAATTTCTCCATATGTAGATATATGGTAAGGTTACATTTTGCAAATTACATTTTTCTTTTTTGGTCCCCTTCTTGGGAATACAAAATGATAAGTTTCAAACCAGGAACGCAATATATTTACAGGTGCGCGAATTCGTCTACAGTGGTCAACATTAAGTAGACGTTTGATCAATGTAAACACCTGCATCTTTGATTGTTTATTGATAAATTTAAAGCGAAATGGTTATATTTTAAGAAATTACCGGGTCCCATAAAATATTTGGTCAAATTTTAAATAATTTACAGGAAACATTCGTTATTGATTCGGATTGCCTAAAGATTCGGACTGTCTTCACAAACTGTACATTTATACTATCCAAGCCACGCACTGATTGCCTGTGCTCTTTACCTATGATCAATGGTGATATCATGCATTTTTTGCATGTGCATAATATATAATGTTGATATCAATTACATGGACACAAGAATAAAAATGTTGCTAAATTTTGAAGGTTATGTTTCATTCTAAATCTACATCAAAGACTATGTTTAGGGTATATCCATGAACAAGAGCTGTTAACAGAAAATCATGCATTCTCTGCATGATAATAAGTCAGTCCTTGCTATCATATAATCCTGGAAAAGCGCTGTACAAGCACACAAAACCACTAATTCCCAGGAGCTTCAGGGGGGCTTTGCCCCCCTTGACCCCCTACCAGGGCTTTGCCCTGGACCCAACGAGGTCCCTTGCGGCCCCCGGGCCCCCAGCTAAATTTTCAGGATTCACAAGATTTCCAACTTCCACCCATGCAATAATCATTTTCGCCCTATTTCTCTGCAACTACTGGCTGGAATTCAACAAAACTTTATGAGAACCATCAATACCAAGAGATGGGCATAATGTTGCCTTGTTTTAATCAGACACTTCAACACATAGTTATGGCCCTTGATTAGTTATGCAGTATGCTTATAGAGCAATAATCATTTCCTTGCTATTTCTCTGCAATTACTGGCTGGAATTCAACGAAATTTTATTGGAACAATCAATATCATTGGGAGATGCGCATATTAGTGCCTTGTTCCGGTCAGAGCCTTCAAGACATAGTTATGGCCCTTGATTAGTTTTGCAATATGCATATAAAGCAATATTGCTATTTCTTTTCAACTACTAGAATAATTTCAACCAGACTTTATGGGAATCATTAATACAAAAAGGAAATTTGCATGCCATGATGAATTTATATAAATAAAGCCTTACCTGGTATGTATTCAGTTGTTGTGTTAGTAATAACCAGTACTCGGCGGGGGATATAAATTTAACGAATTTGCACAATAGTAAACAATGAAACGTACGTGACTGTCTCTGTAAGAAAAATGAACTTTAAATCTGTTCATGATTTAATACACCCATTAACACTTTCAATATGATCTACGTATTAAAATAACCGAGGTATATCGAGTGAAAAATAGGAGTTGCTTCCCTTATCTTCGAGTAATATAGATACCGCTTTTGCTAAAACAATACAAAATAAGCCGTTTTAAACCGCTAGTTTGTTGTAATTAAATATCAGATTGTAAAATGTATTACACCACCAGAAAGCTTTAGATCTTAGCTTCATCACAGTATATACTTATATACTTCAACATATCTTTTGACTCCAAAGTATCTATATAAACTGTTAAACCTACCATATGTCAGACCAATTTTCATACCATTTATACAGTGAGATATGCAACCCATTATCTTTACTCAAAATACTACTGATAAGAATAGCCTGTCGTCTGCTAGTTCTGAAGCTGTTTATCGGTGTATTGGTCTTTTATAAAACAATTGTTTGGTGTTTGTTTATGCCCCCACAAAGTGGGGAGCATATAGCACTGCACTTGTCTGTCCGTCCGCACTCACGAGAGGGTATATGTTGGGTACTGAATACCCAACAACTACCAATCCTACTCACTCTGTATGTATTGTTGGGTATTTTCTTTGATTGTTGGGTACCTTGTTTACACAATAAAATACCAAACAAGAATACAAATGTAAGAATGTCCGTACATCTGTCCGTCGGTATGAATCCAGAGGTACTTGTGTGACTTGGAGATCAATGGACAACAGTAAATTCTCTTTGATCCTATTCATTCCGTTTTTACTTGTGTGTATTTTTTTAAGCCTTGTGTGACTAAAAATGGCCAAACAAATCAACGGAAAAGTCACAAAAGTACCATTTTGTGAGTATGTCCGTACGTCCCGAAATCTTGTGAACGCAACTACTCTTAAACCGGATGGCAGATCTTGCTTTAACTTCCAGGGATTTTGTTTCATGTGAGGAAGCTATCCATATAGCTTATGGACCCTTGGTGGTTCTACTTGTGCCTTTACAGCATTGGTGCAATGTAAAACCCAACATAAATTATTACATATAGATTTATATGATTCTCATCATGTTAAAGAGTCAAATATTTGACATATACTATAGTGTTAACAGTCAAACAAGGACACATATAAGGTTAGTTTATTTATTTATTTTTTTAGCACACTGTCCAGTACCATGATCTGCGGGGAGAATAGTCTACTTGATAAGGCAAAGTTGTTTCAATAATGTAAGATTAAAGAAATTAAATGGACTTAGAAATCAACATTGTTTTCTTAATTGTCAAGGTACATTTACCTCCCTTGAATTCACAGTACTGAAACCAGTACTTGTTTCCATCCATAGTTAGAAGTAAAATCCACTGTTAATTGATAACAATTTGAGTTTAATTGGATCACAAGTTGACAGTGTAAACAAAGTTATATTTTGCCAGTCAGCTTATGTGTGCAATCTGACCAATGTAAACCGGCTCGAAATATATGAAGGTCTGTTCTGGTAATAAATAATTTAACATTTGTGGTGAATATCAGAAATTGCTGCTCAAATTAACTCCAAAGATATGATAACAGATATCATTGTTACATTAAAATTGTTTTTAAAATAAACTTTAAAGTTATGTTGAAAAAATTTACCTACATAATGTATATTTGTATTTATAGGTGAACAAAGATGATCTGAACATGTAAATTCCAAGTTTGTTAGAGGCTCTTCTCATCTGTTTTAGTGATGACAGCTGGCCAGTTAGAGATGGTAAAATGTCTAAAACAAACCTTAGTTATAAATAATCAGAGTCCTTGCAAAGGATTTTCATATGGGTATTAGCATGAAACTTGACACTTGTTTAAGGGTAATAGTTGCGTATATTTTCTAGACATATAACTCTTGCAGAAATTTTTTTCTTACTGCATTATACCTTTTCTCAAACTCCATAGAAAATTCATTGTTAATGTTTTTCATTAAATGTCTGTCTCAACAACTTCTCTTTCTTTATGATTGTTGGTTGACAGCCGCAACCCATAACTGTAGCATTGATACTTACGATATGATTTTCCTGTTTGACTGTCTCTCTATTTATTTTCATGTTCATAGCAGCAGTTTATTCCATATGTTCATTCAACTCTGGAAGCTCATATAATGGGCAAAGACTTGTTTACTTTTATCTGTAGAAAAGGCTTTTCCAATCTGATTACATTATTTTCTAATGTTTAAGAATGTTTGCTGGAGAACAAGTTATTTTATTCTTGTTTTAACTTGTTCAACAATTTTAGTAATGAAGCTACACGAATATAATATTCTTTATATCACATATCCAATATAAGAACTTTTTCATTGATGCACTTTAAAGTGTAACACTGACATTCCCTGCGTCTATTTTCGCTATGATTGTATAATGTTAATGAAAACACATCTAAATATGTACACGGTCTGTGCATTATTATTTTAAAAAGTCACAAAAGCAGCACAGGTATGTGATAAAGTATAATTATGCACTGTTTATTGTTCAAATGCTTTGTAATTAATCACTATTGTGTTTCGGCCTTTGTGGTTGTATTTCTGCGTATTTGAACTATAGATGCATTTTTATGCAACAAAACAATCATAATTGATATTTTCTAAATATAAAATCTAACATAGATCAACTGTATTTTTCAGGTTATCTATACCAGCATTGTATCCACTGTTTTTCAACAATCAACAAGATAATAAACCATCAGTGCGGGGGCAGCCCTTGCTCTCCCCAGAGCATAAGGTATAAACAGTTTTTGGTCATTCCAAACCTAATACTAGTAGCTTAAGCATTTTAACTTAAGATCTTTGATGAAGTATTTAATGCTTAGAACTTTTAATGCTATCAGCAAAATAGTGTTACAAATCTATCCACTACATGAAATGGCTGAAATTAAGAAGAGGCCTCTGTGGTCAGATAGTAGCGGTCACTAACTTTGAATCATTTGCATCTTATTGCAATGGTTCAAATCTCAACAAGACCTTATAGCCCTTTCATATGGGAAAGCTATTTAGCTAGCTTAAGTGGGGTCAGTGGTTGCACTCAAGTGTCCAGCTTGATCTGAAAGAATGTCCAGCAGTTTTATTTATCACTTAAGCTTCATGATGGTCATACATGACCAAGACTTTTATTCGTAAATATAATAAAATAATTATAGAATAACAGTTTTATTGATATTGACATTTCTTGTTACAATTTAAATATAGCTTGCTGTGTGAGAACAAAACGTTTAATCACATTTTTTGCGGAAAATGTGATAGTAGAACCTAACAGACTATGGTAATGCATGTTTATTACTGTGGCATTGCCGACTATTTTATAAGGTCAAGTTTTTGGGGACTTCAGTGAACCTTCACGGGATTGTTTGTCACCGAAGTATATTGTACATACTCTCTTGATTTTCCACTTGAATTTTGTTTTGCACAATTATGGCCAATTAATGATCATTTTTTTGTAAATTAGATTGTCCGCGCTTCATCACCAAAACCAATGGGGGATTTCAGTGAAACTTCACAGGATTGTTTGTTACCAAGCCTAGTTGTGCATTCTATCTTAATTTTCTGCTTTTTTTCTTTTGCACAGTTAAGGCCCCCAATTGGTCAATTTTCGGGTAAAATAAGCTTGTCTGCGCTTTCCTCACCAAAACCGCAGGGTGGATTTCAGTGAAACTTTGCAAGATTGTTGGTCACCATGCTTAGTTGTGCATAGTTAATTGATTTTCAACTTAATTTTTTGACACAATTGTCAAAGTTTCCTTTTGTAGGCATAAGTCACTTTTCATTGACAGCTCTTGTTTCCTACATTTCTTTGACAATGTTTAAAATTCCTTTTAATCTTTTAGATCCAATAAACGTTCAAGGATCTGAGCTGAAGAAGTTTGCGGAGGAGGTGTTTTATCATGTGCCCTCTTTTGTTTCCAATGCCTTAGATGAATTCTGGGAGCAAATACGCTATGGCGAGCAATTAATCGATCTCCACCCTTCAGAAACTTTATATACATGAAGAAATTGGCTCAGATTTGATAAGTTACAGTAGACGTGTGTTCAAGAAACTAATATTTGGCGTATCTGGCATATTATTTGAAACATTTATAAAGAGGAAGAATATTATTCTCCTGTTAAAACCCAAACAAAAAAAACTAACAAACCTCATAAAGGTGCTTCCGCTCCGACTTCTATAGATGGGCTAAACCCCGTGGTTCAGGAAGCAGTTATTGACATATTAGGTTTAAATGGGGCCAACAAATCGTTGGAAAAAACTAAATGGGGTATTCGTAAAAGAAGGATTTTGTTGACACAATTTTGGTGCAAAAATTGCGTGAAGAAGAGCCTGAGTGGGTTAATTATGATGACGATGAATTGGCAGTGAAAATGCAACTAACTGAAACAATATTTAATGATTTATTGACAGATACTGTTCAGACAATGAACAAAATCTTTCGCAAGAAGCAAAGTTTGCAGCAGCAGACATAGGCAGCTATTTGATCTGGATTATGTAAAAGCTTTTGTGATCTGATTTCATGCAGATGCTTTTTTGTGATCTGAGTGATGCAGATGCTTATTCATCTGCAGTTACAGCTAAATGAGTGATCTGAGTATATAAGAGCTTAAACATGAATTTTATATTCTGGGGTTTGAATTTAGAACAGAGAATCATTAAGTAGAGCTAAAATGGCATTATGGTCTAGAGAATTTGTTTCATAACCTTTTTGCATTTGAAATATAAGGGATTTTATTTATTTTTTTCTACTCTTTTAAAATAATACACTCATCCTTTAATTAGATGATATTGCTCATGTATCAGTGTTAGTTTATTTTGACAATTTAGATATATTTATTGTTTGAATGATGAAAAAAGACCTACTGAAGGTATTACAGTACCTGTAACATGAAGGTCAAAGCCTGAAGTCAAGTCTGTAAAGAATGCACGTTATATAAACTTGTGATACCCTTGCATTTTCATACTCTTGTTGGTAACTTTTGAAAGTCGTTGATTTCATTTAAAATGAAAGTGCTCATTTTGAACATTGAGGAAAGATTGTATTTTATTAACTAGTTGCAGGGATTTTTTTTCATAGATCTGTGATATTTGTTTTGTAATGATATACTGTGAAATTTAGATTGTTTGTTTAAGCCATTAACTGTCCAGTCTTGTCTAAAACTAATGGAAGATTTGGCATGCTCACTTGTGACAGAATTAATGCACAGAGGGGCAGCTGAGGTTTACTTTAAATTACCAAGTATATTAAATAAAATAATTACATTTTTAAATTGAAACTGGAGTTGATTTCTATATTCAAACTTACAAGTATATACAGTTAACAGATAAATAACCATGATTAGAAAAGATAGAATAATGAAATACCTGAGATACATTGTTATATGTAGTTTACAGTTCACACATGCAATTCTCAATATTTAATGCTTAAAAATGATTGGAGGTTTTTTTTTGCATTTCAATTTTTTTCTGATTTTACTGTATTACTTGTTGTTTTGGAAGAAGTTTTGTTTGTTTAGTCATATACTGTTAGGTTTGTTAGTGAAATGCTCTTTTTATAGTTATGCCAGCATGTATATTTATATATTTCTTTTTTAAATTTATTTTGTATGTGTAGTCGATGTATTGAAAGATTTATAAATGTTTAGTGACTGAGAGAACCTCACAAGTGACTTTTTGTCAATATAGTCCTATAAAAAATACCTATATTAAATAGTGAACCTTTCATATTTTGACCTTAGACAATTGTTTTGTTTTATTTTTCGGACAAACAATTAAAGGTGTAACCTCTGTAATGTGGTCTTTTGTAGACCAATAATCTCTTCCTTCAACATCATCAATTCCTATTAATGTAAGACTTTACAATCAGTTCTGCATGTCTAGAGTGACCTCTTTGTCTTATATTTTTATACACAAAGAAAATGACAATAGGCCATGATGTCTTATATTTAAAAAAAAATGTTATTCCTCCAATTTTTGAGGGAAAAAAAACAACATTTTACTGTTCTTTGATAACTGATTCACATCAATGTCAGCATTACTATCACATGATGATCTACACATCTCTATTACAGACAAAATGAAGACCTGGTAATTGTTTCAGTTCCTCTGTTACAAAAGTAATGTCATATGTACCTTTGATACTAGAATGTGCTTACCATAATGTATTTCATAGGTAAAATCAGTCGGAACTATAAATTTCGTTTTATTTCATATGGTATTTTTAAAGAGGTATCTAACGTAAAAGTTAAATGTTTTTATTTTTATACTGTGCATTTTCTTGAATAAATTTATGCAACGGTTAAACATTTAGTTTATGATCTAAAAACTTAAAACGTGAACTAAGTGTGTACAAGGGTAAGTGTACTTATGAATGATTGTTTTATACATATATATTTGTAGTTGTAATAGTGTAAGATAATGAAGGAGGAAACTAAATTATAATTTATTATATGTAGCAGTTAGACTTGTGCTAAATGTACAAACAAGCAAACTGAAAGATTTTTTCTTTTAAATTGTAAAGAAAATAAAGAAAAATAAATGCTAACAACGATGCCAAGACTTGATTTATTTTTTGCTCACTTGAGCACTTGGTTTTGAGAGGTAAGCTTTTGTTATTGCAATGTGTCTGTCATTTATTGTTATTAGCATTTTATTTATACATTTCCTAAAAGTTTTATTTGTGATAACTTGTGTAATCTTTTCACAGATTTTATTCATACCTATACAAAAGAACACACATTCCAAAACCAACAGTTTTCTGATATGACGTAGGCCTTTAATTGACCTTGCCTGTCAATGTTTAAATTATCAAAAATTTAAGACAATTATATAACTGTTCCAAAGGTTTCGTTTGTATTTATTCAGTCTCCTAGCATATCAATATAGGAATGAGCCGCGCCATGACAAAACCAACATAATAGGTTTGCGACCAGCATTGATCCAGACCAGCATCCGCGCAGTCTGATCAGGATCCATGCTGTTCCCTTACATACCCTATAACAAGTAGAGAAACTGATAGCGAACAGCTTGGATCCTGATCAGACTGCACGGATGCGCAGGCTGGTCTGGATCCATGCTGGTCGAAAACCCATTATGTTGGTTTTGTCATGGCGCAACTCAAATACAGTTTATATTGCCACTTACAAGATTAATGGTCGTCAGCTGATATAACTTGAGTCTATAGGACATACTAATTCAATTTTAGATATACTAATAATAAAATGAATGGTATAAATACTCTAAATGTATCAAATTCATTTAATGAAAGTGCATGACTACTTTTAGTCGCCTTGAAAAAGGCGACTTATAGGTATTACTTTTATTGTCGACGGCGGCGTCCCCATAGACTTGTGCGGAGAATAAGTCTGATTGACTCCAAAATTCGTCAGCCTGCTACTTTCAATGACTCGAAGTGCAGTGGATAAGAATAATTACTCTGCACTTTTTAATTTTTGAGTTATTGCCCTTTGTTAATTTTGATACTTTTTTTTGTCCAGGCCATTTCTCCTAAACAAAAAATGCTAAGGTAGGATGATACATCTCATTGAGATAAAGTGCAGTGTCTAAAATTTGTACTCTGCACTTGTTATTTTTTGAGTTATTGCCCTTTGTTTATTTTCATACTTCATTTTTTTGGGCTATTTCTCCTAACCTATAAAAGCTATGGACTTGAAACCTTATAGGATGATAGATCTTAATGAGAAGGATTGCATTGCACAATAACTGGAACTCTGCACTGTTTTATTTTTTGAGTTATTTCCCTTTGTTAATGTTCATATTTCAGTTTTGTCCGAGCCATTTCTCCCAAACTATAAAAGCTGTGGACATGAAACTTCATAGGATGATAGATCTCCTTGAAATGAAGTGCAGTGCACAAAAACCGGTACTCTGTACTCCATGATTTTTTTAGTTATTGTGCTTTGTTTATTTTCTTACTTCATTTTTGTTTGGCTGTATGGATTATAAATATGTCTTGAAAAAGCAACAATTACATTAAATTTAGTTTTGTTAATTCATTTAGTGAATTTGACAGATTCTAAACTTGTCCGAGATGTATAACAAAGTCATGGCATTATCTTGTTATCATTAAGCGAAATATTCTTTATGTCGAGAACACTTTGTAAATTAAACATATTTGTAATTTAGTAACCATCGTTTGAGCAGAACATGTAAATATCAAGTAATAAAGGGGAATAACTCGTGAGGGCATAAAATGGATTCACACTAGCTATATTGTGACCACAAGATAATAACTCATTTCAAATATATAAATATCTCGTTCTTGTTTCCAGGGGATAGTATATTGTTCCGGTATATTACGATAGCAACACAATGCATCTATTGTAGTGCTTGTTTTGCTTCTTTTATATAGGTGCTTTCCATCTGCCCGTCGAAATTTCGTTTAAGCGCTAGTTCTCTGGGACAACTGGCTGGAATTCCAAGAAACTTTATGGAAACGTTCAACACTAAGAGGAGATGGGCATATCGTTGCCTTGTTTAGGTCAGACAAGTCAGTACAAAGTTAAGGCCCTTGATTATACAAATAGAGCAATAATCGTTTCCGCTGTACTTCTGTGCAACTACTGGCAAAACTTCAACGAAACTATGGGAACCATCAATACCAAGACGAGATGTGCATATCGTCGCCTTGGTCCGGTCAGACCCTTCGACGTTGAGTAATGGCCCTTAATTAGTTATATGGCCCTTGATTAGTTATTCAGTATGCATATACAGCAATAATTGTAATTGTTTCCGCGCTACTTCTCTTCAGCTACTGGCTGGAAATTCAATGAAACTTTATGGAAACCATCAATACCAAGACAAGGTGCCCATACCATCGCCTAGTTCAGTACGGACACTTCAACACAGGGTTATGGCCCTTGATGAGTTATGTAGTATACATATCG